AATATAATAAAATTGTACAGGAAATGAGGAACAAGTGTAGAGAAGTGCTCGATGTAGGGGACTGTGCGCGCGCTCTCTCTCCCCTCCTCTTCCTCTGTCGCCCTCCCTGCCTCCCTCACTCTCTCACTCTCGTTGCTCGATTTTAACCATCGATGGTTTGATTATTAAATCCATGAAGTTTTTATACACACACAAATCCACATATCTACACACACACACACACACATACACACATGTACATATGCATATTGAAATTCACTTGATTGCAGTTTTCAAGTGAAATCGTAGCACACTTCAGAGCGCTTGTTGGCCCGCCTAAGGGTTAAGGCGGCTAAGAGGAATCTGCTTGGTGTAGGGTCTAAGGGTTAAATGCGGGGAAAAGTCGGAAATATGCCGCTTGTTGCTGCCACAGCCTGCTGATGTTGCTGCCACTGCTACTGCCATTGCTGCTGCATTTAGTAATTCCCGTTTCAAGTAGCAAAACGCGAGCCAAAAACTTTTCATTTGTTGTTGCACGAATTTTAATGAAGCAGCAAGTTTTGCGACTAAATCAAATTAAAAATGAATATGTGAGTGTGTGTGTGTGTGTGTAAGTGACTGAGGAAATGAGCTCGACAAAACTAATGCAAGTTTTTAGCCATGCATCCGTCTTCGAAATTTGGTTTGTCAACTGCTTGGCTTAAACATTTCTAAATGCTTTTCACGCTAATTAATTTTTGGTTACACACAAATTCCAGAAGGCACACACACACACACTAACATACACACAGCACACTTTGATAATTTCCTGAACAACATCCTCGAATTAGGAATTTTGACTTAGTCAATTGAGCATGCAAGCAGCTATTGAATTTCATAAATAGAAAAGAGATTGAGGTATGGATGTAATATATATATTTAAGTGGAATAGTTTAAAAATATTAATATATTAATATAAAAGATACAAGTATTTCGTTTACTTGATAACATTCCTGTCAATATCATCATTAATTTTTCCCAAAATAAGTTGTATTCATTTTCAATACCCATGAAAATCCCGTCTAGACCTTTTTTAACTCTATTTATTTTGTTATATTCTTTTTTTTTCATATTTTCTATTTATACTTTTCATTTAATTGTTTGCCCCATATGAGATCTATAAACATGTTTTTGGCCACATGTCGCTATTTCCTGCTGTGAATTTGTTTAAATTGCATTGCGGATGCTTTATGGTCGGAGCGAATCAGAAAATCTGAAAATCAGAAATTGTGGCAACAACCACCAGAGCAGCTCAAGTTGTGCGACGCCCCGCGGGCTAAACTAGAGCCATGCCACATGCCGCATGCCACACAAGTGCCGCAAAAGTGGAAGCCAAGTGGGTGCACAATTTGTGGAAGAGGTTTAAGGTAGTCGAAAAACTGGCTGGCGGTTAGGCTGTTTAGCGCTTTTTACGCCCAATTGATGTGAGCTTAACGCCTCAATGCTTACACAGAGCAGCAATAGAGTGAGTGAGAGAGAGTGACTGTAGTGAGTTGGGTTGTGGGTGTGCGAAAGGTATCTCAAAGGTTTCAATTGCGTTGACTGCAACGCCTTTTTCCTGGCTTCTTCACACTGGGGGCGTTCTGCTAAGTTTTTTTTTTCCTCCAAGTTTGTTTTGGGCTGCTGCGTAGATGTCTGTCTGCAGCTAGAAAATGGCGGAAACGCCACAAATTTTTCGATAATTTAATTTTAAAGCCAGGCCAAGGCAGGAGGCTTTCTATGTATGTTGTTGTTGTTGTTGCTGTTACAAGTCTAAATGCCAGCGAGCGAGACTATGGAGACTAATCACGCTAATGCGCAAGACGAACGACAGATGGCGCCGCAGCTGCATGCACGTGTGTGTGTGTGTGTGTGTGTGTGTGTGCATGTGTATGTGCCTGTTAGCCAGCTGCCTTCAATAATACGTACGCCAAATGCCAAATAATTTATTTATTATATGTGCAACTGACCAAAGCAGCACAGCACACACACACGCACTTAATACACTAACACATATGTATATCACACACACACACATATGCACATTTACTGAACGAGATTTCATTACAACTCATTTGACAGTCTTGGTGCACTTCGACGCTGCCAAAATGTCATACCTGAGTGGCATGCCACTCCCCCCTCACACACACACACACACACACTCGCCGTCCTTTATGTTTACCTGCGCTGCAGATTAGCGCGCGACATATAGCTGCAAATGCAACTCCTGTGTTTGTGTGTGTGTGTGTGTGTAGAGTCAACGCGAAATTAAGCGAAATGAAGTTGACCACGTTTCGATTTTGCATCAAAGCCAAACGCAGTCGCAGCCGCTGCTTACCTCAAAGCCGCGCCTCTACCTCACATCCATTCGCTTGGCAACGCCTGCCACGCTCACGCCAGCACGCCCGTGTATTCGCCCAGTGAGCAGCAGTTCAGTGAGCCTGGTCTGTGCCCCATGCATTGTTAATACAATTCGAGTCCAACGTCAATAACCAAGTGCCACGAATGGACCATTAGTTGGCCTGCCTAGTTGGATGTGCAACATTTTGTTGTTGTGGTTGTTGTTGTTGTTGTTGCTATTGCTGTTGTTGTCGTTGCAGTTGCTTTGATGGCTGCAACGTTTCTTCGCTTAGCTGCCCACATACACAGCTCAACTTGAGTATACTTATGTGTGTGCGTGTGTGTATTTGTATTCCTATATATAATTATGTGGATTAGCTATATCCTATTTGAATGCTCGCAATTTCAGCTGCGCTTGCCGCGATGCAATTAAATGTCAAATCTAGCAATTTCACAAAATATCGATAATTTATCGATTAATATTATTAATTTAGATAATAGCTAAACTCTTTAAGAACGATTACAAAATAAATGTTAAAACAATAACTTGTATATTCAATATACCCTTCTTTTTTGTTCATATAGTATAAAAAGGCTCAAACAAAACCCTATAAATGCATTTATTAAGTTATTTGCCATCTGAAATATGAAAGAAATAAAGTACAAAATTAAAGTTAGCCCCAAAATTACAGCTCTTTCGACAAATATGTAAACAACTTGTATGACTTCTGCTCAGAGTTCGCAGAAATTGCCAACTTAATTTGCTTGCATTTACAAATAAAGTAATTTTACTTTGCCTTAACAAAATCAAAATAATAATAAAAAGAAAAAAAAAAAAGTAGCTACAAAAATATTATATATAATTTACTTCATAATGAGAGCGAAAATGAAATGGCTAGTTTGGAGACTTGCAATTTGCATGTCTGGCGCCCATAAAAGTATGCAACACAAATTTTCGGACAACAACAGAGCAAAGGCAAGCTCATTGTCTTGGCAGCTGCCATTACACACACACACACTCACAGACATATATATGAATGCATTTAGACTAGGAAGCGACTAAAAATGAGAAACAGGCAACAACTTAACTGCTATTCAGCCACGCAGTCACATGGCAAACTTACAAGTAATACTTAGCCTAAATGGGCACAAGTGGGCCCCATAGAGTGGCCCCTGAGTCGGGGTCGGGGAATAGCCACTTGATATGCTAGATGATGCGAAATTTGTATACCCTTAAACTCATTATTAAAATAAAAATGATGAAGCAGGGTATATTGGCTGTTGTGAAAGGGTATGTAACAGGCGATATGTTGAGATATATTTATGTACATATATATATAATAATGGTTTAGGATTAAGATTTGAAGCCCACAGACGTTATATGTGTATAATTTTAATTCATTTAATTAAAATCCAAGCTCTCGGATTTTAAAGCAAAACATTTTTGCAAAATTTGCTACAAATATCCTGCTTAAATTCATATAGACTTTTTCATGTGCGTTTTCCAAAAACTAAATTTCAAAATATACATGAACATCATATATCTAAAACAGCATCTCCAAAAAAAAAAACAGGGTATCTCCTAATCGTGCACTTTCAACTGAAGTACTCTTACTTAGTTTGTAATGAAGTTATTGACAAGCCCCTAAGCGAGCCAAAGAGAGAGAGAGAGAGAGAGAGAGAGAGATAGAGAATGATAGATAGTGTGGATGGTTGGGTGGCAACAGCGGGGCGTGGCTCACCTTCTAGTGGGCATACATAGACACGTTTAAGGATATGTGGCACAATATGCAAATGTTACTTTGTTATGCAATTAGTGAATTCAATACGAAGCACTCGGCAAACGGTACTTCGGCAAACAGACAGGTAACGGTAACTGTAACGGCAACGATAACGGTAACGTCAACGTCAACGAGGAGGAAAAGCCACTCGAACAACTCACAACTGCAGGCCAAGCACTGCAGTTAAATGTATCGTTAGCATTAGATTCCAAACTGGTTGAGAACCATTCAGAGCTACAATTAGACGACTTAATAATGCTCTGCAATGTATATATGTATGTTTATATGAATATTTACTATGGTAAATCAATGACAATTATACGACTTAATAATGCCCTGCAATTGATGTTGAGCTTAATTGTAAAACAATTTAAGTCTTAGCCCAGATATTATAATTACTTTCTATGTGTTTTATTTATTGAGCCTAATAATTGGTTACGGAATAACCACACAACAATTTTCTGAATACAGTACAGTTATTAATAAAACTCGAGCAAAGTTTTTTACAATTGGATCTATACAAATCAAATTTCAGTTATTATTTTTTTAAATTGTATTTTTTTATAATTTTTATATTATTATTCTTAATATTATTTTTTGTTTTTGAATAAATACTTTAAATATTTTCTTTACTTTTCCTATTTTTTTTACCGTCGACTGCCAACCCATATACCCGACCTACTCTTTAACAGCTATTTCATAAAAAAAAAAAAAAAAAAAAAAAAAAATAGGTCGATCTTCTTCTACATCAATGGCGACAGTGCATTCATTGTGCAGCAAATATAGATATGCAATTAATTCGCCCCCTCTCGCTCACTCTCTATATAAATTTAACTGACTTCCGTTATTTTTCATGCTTCTCTTCTTCTTTATTTTCGATAGGCAAAAATGATGGAAAACTCACACGCTTGGATGGGCGCAAGTGGCTCAACTTTAGCAGGTTTGTATAGACGATCAAAAGCTGGTAGTTTTAGCACTCACCCAATGCATTGCATTCCGTTATATTGTATGTATCCTTCTCGAACATTCCAGCAGACAGCTATCAATATCAGCTGCAGTCGATGTGGCAAAAATGCTGGAACACTAATCAAAACTTAATGCATCACATGCGGTTTCGCGAACGCGGACCACTTAAATCATGGCGACCCGAAACGATGGCCGAAGCCATTTTCAGCGTACTAAAGGAAGGACTTTCACTATCACAAGCGGCGCGAAAATACGATATACCCTATCCGACATTTGTGCTTTACGCAAATCGGGTGCACAATATGCTCGGCCCCTCGATCGATGGCGGACCCGATCTACGACCCAAGGGACGAGGTAGACCGCAACGCATTCTCCTGGGTATCTGGCCGGATGAGCATATCAAGGGCGTCATCAAGACGGTCGTGTTTCGCGACACTAAGGACATAAAGGAAGATAGCCTAGGAGCACATATGCCACCGTACGGTCGGCATTCGGTAGGTTAAAACAAGCCACAATTCACCACTATACAAACTTCATAGCATTTGCACTTCAAAAAAAATGAAAAGAAAATTACGACGCAGTAATTGATGCAGCCATCTTTATTCACGATTAACTTGATATCGATTAGCATGTGATTTCGATGCCTGTTAAATGGTCCTTAAGCCGACTGTTAAGCTTAACATTTTATCAACAGAGATTTGGTTTTGTTGGACTGCAGAGCTAATAGATTAATTTAGCATTAAATGCTTGATTAACATAAAGACAATAAGTACTAATTGAGCATTGATGCAAGTATCGATGCTTCTTATTGTAAAACGGTGATCTGATTGTATTACAATTGCTTTAGCAAATATCGATGGCATACATTGTTCAATCAGAAAGCTGCCTTTTGAGTAAAATGTCAAGCACCTATCGATGCCTCTGTGCTGTTTTATAGCAGTGATCTATATGTCAACGATCAGCCGCAACCAACTAAATTTGCAATTCGAATTTCGCAAGTTGTTTCAAATATCTTTCATTTCAAGTCACCCACACACTAAACTCCCGATCGGGTTAGCCCGTTTTTCCCTTGCAGGACATGACGCTAAGCTATCCAGGTCAGCCGGTTGGCGGAGGAGCCGCCAGCCTCAGCGCCCTGGCCTGTCCCAATGGTATGGGCAGTGGCGGCGCCGTGGGAGGCGCTGCCAGTGGTGCGGAGCAACAAATGTCGCAGGAGCAGATGTCAGCGGTGGCTGCCGTTGCACACAATATACGCCAGCAGATGCAAATGGCCGCCGCAGCGCAGCATCAGCACGGGGAGGCGGGGCCGCAACCACCCCCACCGGGTCCGCCGGGCCTGTTCAATTTGCCGCCCCATTTGACGGGCGGAGCGGGACGGGCTAGCATATCGCCAGCATTGAGCAGTGGCTCAAATCCATCGCTGGGAGCACGGCATGCGCCCTCGCCCTGCGGTCCCGCCGGCCTCTTGCCGAATCTGCCGCCCAGCATGGCCGTTGCACTGCATCGAGATCCGGCAGCGGCTGCACTACTCAGTCAGCAGCAGCAGCATCATCTGCAGCAGCTGCAGCTCCATCAGCAGCACCAACAGCAACAACAACAGCAGCAGCAACAACAGCAACAGCAGCACGCTTTGCATCAACAGGCAGCAGCAGCTGCTGCAGCGGCGGCCGCTGCTGCTGCAGTGCAGCATCCGCACACACATCCGCATTCGCATCTCATGCAGCCACACAAATCCGGTTTCGGTGCCAGTTCCATGCAGCATCAGCAGCAACAGCAACAGCAGCACCAGCAACAGCAGCACCAACAACACCAGCAACAACAACAACAGCAACAACAGCAGCAGCAGGACAAGTCCAAGGCGAAGAGCAGTCCGCCGCGCTTGCATTCACCGCTATCTGAGTTGGGCTTGGAGCTGGGCTACAAGCGTGACTTCTCGCCTACGCGACTCTTTGCCGAGGATCTGGCAGAGCTAGTGGGCGCCTCCTCCACCTCCACGTCTGCATCAACCACAGCAGCAGCAACGCCTGCAGCGAGCGGAACGCCCGTTGGAGCAGCAAGCGGCACAGCCGGTGGAGAGATGTGCGCCAGTAGTACTGGCAGCGGGAGCGGCAGCTCCATCAAGGTGGAGCCCATTACGACCAGCGGCGAGTAGAGTCGAAGCTCCAGCTCCAACTCCAAACTCAACTAAATCAATCAATCAATCAAAAGAGCAACAAATTTTCCTTTCAATTAAGCAATTGAGATTTGAGAAAAATGGAAATTTTAAAGGTTTAACAAATCTGATTTAAACTATATAGTATTTAATATGAAATACATATGTGTATATAAATTGAGTTATACATTATAATTATATATATACATATATACATTTATGTGTGTGTAATGTATACGAAAGTGGTCTGAAAAGTTGACAAGTCTAAAAAAGATTTTTTAAATTATCACTAAAAAATTGTTTAGTAAAAATAATTTTAATTTTTTTTTATAAATAGATTTATTTAAACTATTTTGTATTTTTGATAAAATTAATGTCAGTCTTAGTATGTATTAATTCTTCGTAAGTATTATTTAAAAAATTTTAATTGTCAATTTATATATCTACGAAATAATTTTTAGTTTAAATGCATATTGTTCTTAAAGTATCTAGAACAATATAAAATATTTAAAGCAAATTTTAATTATAATTATTTAATTTTGAATTAAGTAATTTATATATATAATTTAATGCTTATTTTACATAAAAAATTGTATTTTTTAATTTCCGTAAAATACATATTCTCATTTAGATAATTTAATCATAAAATATACATATTTGAATTATTTATTTATTTAATTTAAGTTTGTTAATTTTTGAGACCATCCATGCACATCTCCATACATACATACATATATATGTATATATCATGCATATTAGTATTTYGAACGCTCGTTCCTTTGTTTCTGTCGGTCCACTTCAATTTAATTATTTTTAATTAAAAAAAAATCAAAAGAGTATTATTATGTTAAAAAATTAATTAAATTGCGATCTCTTTCATTTTTACTATATAAATATATAAATAAAATGGAAAACTCTAAGAAATACCCTGGAACATTCCACAGCAAATCCCACAAAACAGTTTTTCAACAGAAGAAATTACAACTAAAAATAAATAAAATAAACATTAAAAAGAAAAATACAATTATTTAAATCATAGAAATTGTGTGCCCAGTTTTATTTAATTTATAAAAATATATGTGTACAAAAATTATAAGAAAAAAAATTAAAACTAAAAATTTTTGGATGTGCATTAAAAAATGGAAACTAAAAATATGGAAACAACTAAATTTAATGTTTAGGTCTTAAAAACAAACAACAAAAAATTCACAAAAAATGCCTTTCGGAATTAAATTCAGTGAAATTGTTAAAAAGTAAAGAGAGAGAAAAACCCCAAATTTGTAAATTTAAAATAAATTTTTAACTAAAAAAATAAGAAACTTTTTACAAAACAAAATTTATAGAAAATTATGAAAATGAAAATTGTAAACGAAAGTTGTTGAAAATAAAACAAAAAAATTGAAGGCTTCGGAAACTTTAATTATTGCTAAACTTTTAATACTAAAACGTTATTTGTTAATTTATTCTTTAACAAAATTGAACAATTTCTCTTCTACTCTTCTAAAGTGCCTTTTCTAGCATTAATTTTAACTTAAGCTTTTTTTTTTACATTTTTTAACTGAAAAAAGGAAAAATGATATCAACAACTTTCGTTAATTAATTTAGAAAAAGTCTGGCATATACATACATACTATATATATTTTTAAATAAATATATAAGTATTGTATTAAGTTTTAAAAAAGAGGAAAAATAACATTTAGGCAAATCTTTCGGCAATACATTTTATATGTGTTTTTTTTTAATAAAAATAAAAAACAAGTCTCATTTGCAAGCACACAAAAAATAATATTAAAATAAAAATAATAATACAAATAGAAAATAAATAAACAAGCGGCAATTAAAAATCAAATAAAAAAATATATAACAAAGTATTTACAGATTATACAATAGCCATAGCCATATAGACGGATATGTAGATATATATATTAATTTATATGTATATCTATGTATGTAACTCTCATAACTAATCCCCCCAACCACCCTAAGAAATAGACTCTAATGTTCCCTACCTATTTGGTATATTACGAGTATTTCAACAAAAAAATAATTAAATTAAAAAAAAAAAAGGAAAATATGTTTATGAAGCTAACCGAAAATTTCC